TACTAACTAACTTCTACTTCTTCATACTACACTACTACTACTACTACGTCCTACGTCTACTACTACTATACTACTACTACTACAACTACTACATCTACACTACTACTACTAGTACTACTACTACTACACTACACTACTACTACTACTATTACACTACTACTACTCTACTACTACTACTACTATTACACTACTACTACTTCTACTACTACTACTACTACTACACTACTACTACTTCTACTTCTACTACTACTACTACTACACACTACTACTACTACTACTACTACTACTACTACACTACTACTACTACACTACACTACACTACTACTACTACTACTACTACTTCTACTACCACTACTACACTACTACTACTTCTACTACTACTATACTACTACTACTATACTACTACTACACTACTACTACTACTGCACTACTACTACTGCTGCTTCAGCTACTACAACTACTACACTACTACTACTTCTACTACTACTACTACACTACTACTACTACTACTACTACTTCAACTACTACAACTACTACACTACTACTACTACCACTACTATACTAACTACTACTACAACTACTACTACTTCTACTACTACTACTACTTCTACTACTACTTCTACTACTACTACACTACTACTACTACTACACTACTACTACTACCACTACTATACTACTACTACTACACTACTACTACTACTACTACTTCTACACTACTACACTACTACTAACACTACTAACTACACTACTACTACTACTACACTACTACTTCTACTAATACTACTACTTCTACTACTACTTCTACTACTACACTACTACTACTACTACACTACTACTTCTACTACTACTACACTACTACTACTACTACACTACTACTTCTACTACTACTACTTCTACTACTACTACACTACTACTACTACTACACTACTACTTCTACTACTACTTCTTCTACTACTACACTACTACTACTACTACACTACTACTTCTACTAGTACTACTACTTCTACTACTACTACTTCTACTACTACTACTTCTACTACTACGCTACTACTACTTCTATTATACTACTACTACTACTACTTTACTACTACTACTACACTACTACTACTACTACTACTACTACACTACTACTACTACTACACTACTACTACTACTTCTACTTCTACTACTACTACTACACTACTACTACTACTACTACACTACTACTACTACTACACTACTACTACTACTACATTACTACTACTACTACTACTACTACACTACTACTACTACTACACTACTACTACTACTTCTACTACTTCTACTACTACTACTGCACTACTACTACTACTACTTCTACTTGTACTACTATACTACTACTACACTACTACTACTACTACTATACTACTACACTACTACTACTACACTACTACTACTTCTACTTCTAATACACTACTACTACACACTACTACTACTAACTTCCCTACTCACATACTCTACTACTACTACTCACTACTCACACTACTTCTACACTCTAACACTACTAACCTTCTACTACACTACTACTACTACACTGACTACACTACTACTACTACTAAACTCTACTACTACTACAACTACTACTAACATACTACTAAACTAACTTACTACTACTACTACTACTCACTACACTACACTATTACTACTTCTATACTACATCTCTATACAAACTACTATCTACTACTACTAACACAACTACTACTACTACTACTACTACTACACTACTACATACTACTACACTACTACACTACTACTACTACTACTACTACACTACTACTACTACTACACTACTACTACGTCTACTACTACTCACTACACTACTACTACACTACACTACTACACTACTACTACTACACTACTACTACTACACTACTACACTACTACTACTACTACTAACACTACACTACTACTACACTACACTACTACTACTACACTACTACTACTACACTACACTACTATCTACTACACTACTACACTACTACTACACACTACTACTACTTACTACACTACACTACTACTACACTACTACTACTACTACACATACTACTACACTACTACTACTACTACTATACTACTACTACATCTACTACTACTACTCTACTACTACTACTACTACCTACACTACTACTACTCACTACACTACTAACTACATACTACACTACACTACACTACTACACTACTACTACTACACTACTACTACTACTACTACTACTACTACACTACATACTACTACTACTACACTACTACTACTCTACACTACTACACTTCTACTACACTACTATTACACTACTACTACTAACACACTACTACTACTACTACTACTACTAACTACACTACTACTACTTCTACTACTACTACTACTACTACTACTACACTACTACTACTACTATACACTACTACTACTACACTAATTACTACTACAAATACTACAACTACACTACACTACACTACTACTACTTTACACACTACTACTTACTACTACACTACTACTACACTACTACTACTTACTCTATATAACACTATACTACTACACTACACTACACTACTACTCACACTACTTCTACTACACATACACTTCTACACTACTACTACTACACTAACACTACACCTACTACTATCTACTTCTACTACTACCTACACTACACTACTACTCACTACTCTCGTACTACTACTACTCACTACTACTCTACTACATACTACTAACTACAACTACTACTACTACACAACTACACACTACCTACTACACATACTACTACACTAACACTCACTAATACTACACTTCTACTACACTACACTACTACATACTACTACTACTTCTACACTACTATACTACTTACTACTACTACACTACACACTTCTACTACTACACTTCTACATACTATAACACTACTACTCTACTACACTACTACTACTACTACTACTAACTCACTACTACTACTACAACTACTACATACTACACTATCTACTACTTCTACTACACTTACTACTACTACTACTTCCACTACACTTCTACTACTACTACTACTACACTACTACACTACTACACACTACACTACTTCTACACTACTACACTCTACTACATACTACTCTACTACACTACTACTACTACTACTACTACTACTACCTACTACTACAACTACACCTACTACTAACTACACTACTACACTACACTACTACTACATACACTACACTACACTACAACTACTACTACTACATACTACTTACTACACTACTTACAACTAACTACTACTACTACACTAACTACTCTACTACTACTACACTACTACTATCTACACACTACTACTACACTACACCTACTACAACTACACACTACTACTACTACACTACTACTACTGACTACTACACTACTACTACTACTACACCTACTACTACACACTACTACTACTACTACACTACACTACTACTACTTCTACAACTTTACTACTAACACTACCTACTACACTTCTACTACTACAACTATACTACTACTACACTACACTACTTACTACACAACACTACTACTACACTACTACTACACACACTACTACTACACTACACTACTACTACTACACTACACTACTACTCTACTACTACTACTAAAACCCAACCCACTCTACTAACACACACTACACCTACACTACACTAACTACACACAACTTCACATACACTCTACTACAAACTACCTACACTCAAATACTACTACTACTACTACACTACTAACTTTCTACTACTAACTACACTACTACTACTACCCCTACTTACTACAACTACACACTCTACTACACACTAACTAACACTCTACACTACACTACTACTACTACAAAACTACTACTACTACTACACAACATACTACTACACTACACTACTACTACAACTACAACTTCTACTATACACTAACTACTACTACAAAACACTACTACTACACTACTACTCACTACTACTACTATCTACACTACACCACTACTACTACACTACACTACTACTAACTACTACACTACTACTACTACACTACACTACTACACTACTACACTACTACACACTACACAACTACTACTACTACACACTACCTACTACTACACTACTACCCTATACAACTACACACACACACTACTACTACACTTTTCACTACTAAAATACTACTACACTACTACTACTCCACTACTAACTACACTACAACTACTACTACCTACTACACTACTACTACACACTACTAACACTACTACTACACTAACTACTAACTAACACTACACTACACTACACTACTACACTACACACTACTACTACTACACTACTACTACACTACACTACTAAATACTACTACACTACTACAAAACACCTACTACTACTTTCACACACTACTACTCACTACTACTAACACACTACTACTACTAACACTAACTACTACTACACTACTACTAACTACACTACACTACTAACTACACTACATACACTACACTACTTTAACTACTACACTACTACTAATAAAATACTACATAACTACTACACACACTAAATACTACTTCTACTACACTATACAAAATATACTACTACTAATCTACTACCTCACTACTACTACTACACAATCCCACTACTACACTACTACATACACTACTACTACTTACTACACTACTACTACTCAACTACACTACACTACACAACTACTACAACTACACACAACTACTATCACTCTACACTTCACTACTACTACTTACCTACTACTACCACTAACCTCTACTACTACTACTACTAATCATACTACATTTAACAACTACTCTAAAACAACTACACACTAATACTACTCTATACTTTACTACTACTACTAATACTAATAATTACTAATAAATACTACACTACATAATATATAATTTTTATACAATAAATGGTATTCAAAAAAAAGCTCAAGGATACATATATACACTTAACTATAAATACCTATACAAATCAATACTCTACATGGATTACCCCCCCCACCTGGACTCCAGGGCCCCCACCTCCAGCCTTGAGGGCCCGTAACTCCACTACCCTTACTCTGGCTTGGGGGCCCCCTGACCATGAAGGGGCCTCGCCTATCACCAGCTACATCCTGGAGGTAGGTACAACTGGAATTAAGTGCAACCTGGACTCAGGTATAACCAAGGAGAAGCCACTTCTGAAACCAGTTCTTGGGAATTTTAGAGAGATTTTAGTAAACAGTGAGGTACTGTAAGGTGTGGATGTTACTCCAGTACTGTTTTCACCATATTTCACAGTTTAGTGAATCACTATTAGAATGCTCATTCAACCATGGAGATGATGATGATGATGATAATAATAATAAAATAATAATAATAATAATAAATAATAATAATAATAATAATAATATCTGGCAGATGTGGAGTGGTCCTGGACCCTGGAGAGCACTAGAGGAGCACATCCCTGCTGAGACCTACACTGTAACTGGTCTCAAGACCAACACCCAGTACCGTGCTGTCGTCAGGTATGACCCTGGTGTTTCACCTGGTCCCTAGTAGTCACCTGTTAGGTGCTGCCTCACCTAGTTAGGTTCCACAAAGATTGTTTTACAAGCTTAATAACACTAATGATAATAATAATAATAATAATAATAATAATAATAATAATAATAATATTGACATAAATATTACTAAGATTATTACTGGTGTCATTAGGTTCCTGATCCGAGGTAGTGGTGCAATCTTCCTCCTACTGTTCCTCGGATCAAGAGCCCTGGGGGGGAGTTAAGACTCGTCAACTTCGCTTTACAGAGCCATGAATATGCATGGAGTGTCAGCAGCGTCAGCCGTGTCTGGTCCTTTGGTGACGGGTGGCAGGCGGGCGGGAGAGGGCGGCACCGCCCACGATGATGATGACCCACAGGTACGAGCAGTGCTGAGCCACCCACTGGTCACCCTGCTGCCGCCCACGCCCGTCTCCTCTACCGCTATAAGGCTCACCTGGAAGGTAAGCTGCCGCCCACTCTTCTTACTGTCAGCCGCCCACACTTCTTACTGTCAGCCAATCACACTTCTTACTGTCAGCCGCCCACACTTCTCACTGTCAGCCACCCATGCTTCTTACTGTCAGCCGCCCATGCTTCTTACAGTCAGCCGCCCATGCTTCTTACTGTCAGTCACCCATACTTCTTACTGTCAGTCACCCATACTTCTTACTGTCAGCCACCCATGCTTCTTACTGTCAGCCGCCCATGCTTCTTACAGTTAGCCGCCCATACTTCTTACTGTCAGTCACCCATACTTCTTACTGTCAGCCGCCCATGCTTCTTACTGTCAGCCGCCCATGCTTCTTTCTGTCTGCCGCCCATGCTTCTTACTGTCAGCCGCCCATACTTCTTACTGTCAGCCGCCCATGCTTATTACTGTCAGCCGCCCATGGTTCTTACTGTCAGCCGCCCATACTTCTTACTGTCAGCCGCCCATGCTTCTTACTGTCAGCCGCCCATGCTTCTTACTGTCAGCCGCCCATGCTTCTTACTGTCAGCCACCCATGCTTCTTACTGTCAGCCGACCACGCTTCTTACTGTCAGCCGCCCATGGTTCTTACTGTCAGCCGCCCATGGTTCTTACTGTCAACCACCCATGCTTCTTACTGTCAGCAGCCCATGCTTCTTGTCAGCCGCCCATGCTTCTTACTGTCAGCTGCCCATGCTTCTTACTGTCAGCCGCCCATGCTTCTTACTCTCAGCCGCCCATGCTTCTTACTGTCAGCCGCCCATGTTTCTTACTGTCAGCCGCCCATGCTTCTTACTGTCAGCCGCCCATGCTTCTTACTATCAGCCGCCCATGCTTCTTACTGTCAGCCGCCCATGCTTCTTACTATCAGCCGCCCATGCTTCTTACTGTCAGCCGCCCATGCTTTTCACTGTCAGCCGCCCATGCTTCTTACTCTCAGTCGCCCATGATTCTTACTGTCAGCCGCCCATGCTTCTTACTGTCAGCCGCCCATGCTTCCTATTCTCAGCCGCCCATGCTTTTTACTGTCAGCCGCCCATGCTTCTTACTGTCAGCCGCTCATGCTTCTTACTGTCAGCCGCCCATGCTTCTTACTGTCAGCCGCCCATGCTTCTTACTGTCAGCCGCCCATGCTTCTTACTCTCAGCCGCCCATGCTTCTTACTGTCAGCCGCTCATGCTTCTTACTGTCAGCCGCCCATGCTTCTTACTGTCAGCCGCCCATGCTTCTTACTGTCAGCCGCCCATGCTTCTTACTGTCAGCCGCCCATGCTTCTTACTATCAGCCGCCTATGCTTCTTACTGTCAGCCGCCCATGCTTCTTACTGTCAGCCGCCTATGCTTCTTACTGTCAGCCGTCCATGCTTCTTACTGTCAGCCGCCTACGTTTCCCATACGGTTGACACATTCCTGTCATCTGCTCACAATTTTTGTCAGCCACCCACACTTCCTGTATCCTACCCACACTTCCTGTATCCTACCCACACTTCCTGTATCCTACCCACACTTCTTGTATCCTACCCACACTTCCTGTATCCTACCGACACTTCCTGTATCTCACCGACATTTCCTGTATCCCTCTCTCATTTCCTTTATCCTTCCCACATTTCCTGTATCTCACCCACATTTCCTGTGTCACACCCACATTTCCTGTATCCCATATTGTGTACTGGTGTTACTGTGCGGGTCACAAGAACACCAGTACTCTGACTCACCACCAGAGATGTACAAAACCCGCTAAGAGCACTGAGGTGTGAAGACACAGCTCGGGGTGACAGCAGTGACAGCAGTGACAGCAGCACATCCACAGAGAAGCTTCTAAAACATTGACACGAGTGAAACATAACAGAAATGATGAGTTTGGAGAGTTTCTCTACTCCTGGAACTCGGCCATGGGACAGGCTCGTCTGGTTACTCATCCATTCAAAATCATCATACCAAAAGAGTGTGATCTAATAAGGGTAACAAGTGCACGTAGATAGGTAAGGAGGTCACGCTGCCTTCATGGTGCTAGCCAATTAAAACACGTGGGTAAAAACCCCTCAATAGAAGCTTCCTCTTGCCACATACATAGCTACACATTACATATACTAGATGTATATCAGTTGCTGCAATATTCAAGACAGGTATTACCACATTGCATAACCGCAGTCTCCTGATCCTCAAGACTTGCACTTGAAGTAGTGTGGATCAGAGGAGGCATTCACAGGTCATCACATGGAAACTAATCTCCAGATTTCTTCAGTAAAAATGGCATATTACAACATACAGAAATTAGAAATCACATCAGAAATGATCCCAGTGACAAGCAGTATTTTAATTTTTCAAAATTCTTTGGTGAATAAAGAAAGTGGTATGCCTACAGGTCAGTACCAACCCACCACAGGTCAGTACCAACCCACCACAGGTCAGTACCAACCCACCACAGGTCAGTACCAACCCACCACAGGTCAGTACCACCCCACCACAGGTCAGTACCAACCCACCACAGGTCAGTACCAACCCACCAGAGGTCAGTACCAACCCACCAGAGGTCAGTACCAACCCACTACAGGTCAGTACCAACCCACCACAGGTCAGTACCAACCCACCACAGGTCAGTACCAACCCACCACAGGTCAGTACCAACCCACCACAGGTCAGTACCAACCCACCACAGGTCAGTACCAACCCACCACAGGTCAGTACTAACCCACCACAGGTCAGTACTAACCCACCACAGGTCAGTACCAACCCACCACAGGTCAGTACCAACCCACCACATATTACCAACCCACCACAGGTCAGTACCAACCCACCACAGGTCAGTACCAATCCACCACAGGTCAGTACCAACCCACCACAGGTCAGTACCAACCCACCACAGGTCAGTACCAACCCACCACAGGTCAGTACCAACCAACCACAGGTCAGTACCAACCCACCACAGGTCAGTACCAACCCACCACAGGTCAGTACCAACCAACCACAGGTCAGTACCAACCCACCACAGGTCAGTACCAACCCACCACAGGTCAGTACCAACCCACCACAGGTCAGTACTAACTCACCACAGGTCAGTACCAACCCACGACAGGTCAGTACCAACCCACCACAGGTCAGTACCAACCCACCACAGGTCAGTACCAACCCACCACAGGTCAGTACCAACCCACCACAGGTCAGTACCAACCCACCACAGGTCAGTACTAACCCACCACAGGTCAGTACTAACCCACCACAGGTCAGTACCAACCCACCACAGGTCAGTACCAACCCACCACAGGTCAGTACCAACCCACACAGGTCAGTACCAACCCACCACGGGTCAGTACCAACCCACCACAGGTCAGTACCAACCAACCACAGGTCAGTACCAACCCACCACAGGTCAGTACCAACCCACCACAGGTCAGTACCAACCCACCACAGGTCAGTACCAACCCACCACAGGTCAGTACTAACCACCACAGGTCAGTACTAACCCACCACAGGTCAGTACCAACCCACCACAGGTCAGTACCAACCCACCACATATTACCAACCCACCACAGGTCAGTACCAACCCACCACAGGTCAGTACCAACCCACCACAGGTCAGTACCAACCCACCACAGGTCAGTACCAACCCACCACAGGTCAGTACCAACCCACCACAGGTCGTACCAACCAACCACAGGTCAGTACCAACCCACCACAGGTCAGTACCAACCCACCACAGGTCAGTACCAACCAACCACAGGTCAGTACCAACCCACCACAGGTCAGTACCAACCCACCACAGGTCAGTACCAACCCACCACAGGTCAGTACTAACTCACCACAGGTCAGTACCAACCCACCACAGGTCAGTATCAACCCACCACAGGTCAGTACCAACCCACCACAGGTCAGTACCAACCCACCACAGGTCAGTACCAACCCACCACAGGTCAGTACCAACCCACTACAGGTCAGTACTAACCCACCACAGGTCAGTACTAACCCACCACAGGTCAGTACCAACCCACCACAGGTCAGTACCAACCCACCACAGGTCAGTACCAACCCACCACAGGTCAGTACCAACCCACCACAGGTCAGTACCAACCCACCACAGGTCAGTACCAACCAACCACAGGTCAGTACCAACCCACCACAGGTCAGTGCCAACCCACCATGGGTCAGTACCAACCCACCACAGGTCACTACCAACCCACCACAGGTCAGTGCCAACCCACCATGGGTCAGTACCAACCCACCACAGGCCAGTACCAACCCACCACAGGTCAGTACCAACCCACCACAGGTCAGTACCAACCCACCATGGGTCAGTACCAACCCACCACAGGTCAGTACCAACCAACCACAGGTCAGTACCAACCCACCACAGGTCAGTACCAACCCACCACAGGTCAGTACCAACCCACCATGGGTCAGTACCAACCCACCACAGGTCAGTACCAACCCACCACAGGTCAGTACCAACCCACCACATATTACAAACCCACCACAGGCCAGTACCAACCCACCACATATTACCAACCCACCACAGGTCAGTACTAACCCACCACATATTACCAACCCACCACAGGTCAGTACCAATCCACCTCAGGTCAGTACCAACCTGCCACAGGTCAGTACCAACCCACCACAGGTCAGTACCAACCCACCACAGGTCAGTACCAACCCACCTCAAGTAAGTACCAACCTACCACAGGTCAGTACCAACTCACCACAGGTCAGTACCAGCCCAACACATATCAGTACCAACCCACCACAGGCCAGTACCAACCCACCACAGGTCAGTACCAGCCCACCACAGGTCAGTACCAACCCACCACATATCAGTACCAACCCACCACAGGTCAGTACCAACCCACCACAGGTCAGTACTAACCCACCACATATTACCAACCCACCACAGGTCAGTACCAACCCACCTCAGGCCAGTACCAACCCAGCACAGGTAAGTACCAACCCACCACAGGTCGGTACCAACCCATCACAGGTCAGTACCAACCCACCACATATC